GGGGCCGCGGGCGAGGGAGCGCCGGGCTGGCTGGCCAGCCGAGCGTGACCGCCTGTTCCTCGTAGCCCTGCTTCCTCAAGGACTGGGAGCTGCACGTCCACTTCAAGGTGCACGGGGTGGGCAAGAAGAACCTGCATGGGGACGGCCTGGCCCTGTGGTACACGCGGGAGCGCCTCGTCCCAGGTACCGGGGTCCTTCGGGGGGGGCCTGGCTGCTCGGTGGCTGCCGACTGCAATCCAGCAACAAGCTGCTGTAGCTCCACCGCTGCCCTCGGGGCCTGCTCCTGGGCAGTGCCACAGCCAGGGCTTTTCTGTTCCGGGGGGCTGCAGCATTCAGCCAGGAGTATGGCTCATGGCACAGCCTGACCTGGCAGGTGCCGGGCTGGTTTGTTGAGTTTCAGTCACGCGGGTCTTGCTGATCTGCAGCGCCAGGATCTCCCTGGGCACCAGACCCTGAGCCAAGCGCCTTTCTGCAGAGAAGCTGTCTGCTGCAGCACGTTTAAGGGCCCTCGCTCCCATCCTCGTGCCGTCGCTGTTCAGTGGCACGTGCACGGTCTGTGGGGTGGGCCCCACGCTGCACGGGCCAATTGGGAAGCCCACCAGGATTGGCACAGCACCACAAAGTGGAGGGTCTCACTAGACGAGTTGGTGTCACGTGCTCTGGACAGGGACAAGGGCTGCCTGGCACCTCTGCCATAGAGCTCTCTGCTCTACTTGGCTCTTCTAGGTCCTGTGTTTGGCAGCAAGGATAACTTCCATGGCCTGGCCATCTTCCTGGACACCTACCCAAACGATGAAGCGACTGAGGTAGGTGGCTTAGCGCCTGGTTAGCACTGGGAGGCTTAGCAGGCTCAGGGCAGCGTGGTCAGGGTTTGCTGCGGCCGCACAGAACATGCTGCATGGGGAGGAGAGTGGTGCTGGCATCGTGCCCTCTCTTCTCTCCTGGGGAGAGGTACGCGTGGTCCCAAGAGAAGGGAGGGTTGCAGTTTGCTTAGTCCATCCTCTTGTCTTACCACCTACACCGGACCCATTTCTAGGGTCTCTGCTGCCAATAGGGAGAGATATAGAGAACCCATGTAAGCCTCCAGGCTCCTGCTTCCAAAATGAGGGGGTTCAGGGCGTTAAACTCCCCCGGGGGGGTCTCTTGCTCGCTCAGCTTTTCCTGGGTGCTGCCAGACCCTGCGGTAGTACAGACAAAGGAAACCGCTTCTGTGTCAAAACCTGATCCCACAGCTCTGCCTGGCAGGACCCTAGCCCAGCCCAGCCCAGCCCAGCCCAACTTGCCTCCCTTGCCTTGGAAGATGGGTCTGTGGTGTTGGACCCCTGCTCTGCCCCGTGCACAGACCTGGCAGGATTGCTTTAGTCTGCTTGGCTTGTGCTTTCTGCCTGTCACCCACTTATACAATTATCAAATGCACCATCTGTGCCCAACCCCTTCCCACCCCCCCACTGTTGCCCCTGCAGGGGAGGATCCTCCTGGTACCACCTCATTCTTCTTCAGACCCCTTCTCAAACCTTCTCTGCTCTGGCTACAAAATCCTTGTGTGGTTGAGCCAGCAGGGCCTGAGGCTGCCGACCAGCCCGTGGAGACCACTGTGGTCTGCTTCCTAGTTTTGCTTCCTGTCCCCCCGGTTCACCTCTCTCATCTCAGGCCTGAGCTACTGGTTCTCTGGGCAGGGACCATCTCTTGTCCCTGGGCATTCACTACCTAGAATGAGGAGGAGTGGGGGCTCCACAGTGGTGCAGATGGTAAGAGTTCAGGAGGACTTGTCCTGCATTGCAGTGACAGAGTAGTGTCCTGTGGAAGGAAGGGAGGAGGAGGATGCCAGGGCTGGGGTGTCCTTAAGCAGGAATTCTTTGCCCAGTGGGATGCTGTGTCTGGGTGTTTGCTAAACTGGGGTAGTTGGGTTAAGGAGAGTGGAGAACAGCCCTGCCCAGAGCCTGCACCCTCCGCTGCCTGTCCGAAATCAGGTGCTCCCACTTCCAGTCAAACCGCATTGAATATGACGGCCCCCTCAGGATAGTGTGCCTAGCGGTCACAGCCTGGCAGAGGTGCCCTGACACAGCCCTGGGTACGTTGCCGCAGGCTGTTCCCTTAGGCACACAGGTGTGCCTGATCTGCGGGAGTGGGAGTTGGGGGGAGCATCTGGCTCTCCCATCGTGCAGGCTGTCCTGGTGCGTGGCAGGCTCCGCTTCATGTCCTGCTCTGCCTGCAGCGTGTGTTCCCGTACATCTCGGCCATGGTGAATAATGGCTCCCTGTCCTACGACCACAGCAAAGATGGGCGCTGGACAGAGCTGGCAGGCTGCACTGCTGACCTGAGGAATCGGAACCACGACACCTTCCTGGCAGTTCGCTATTCCAGGGGTCGGCTGACGGTGAGAGGGGTGGGGAGGTGGCACGGCGTCTGGTGCCCCTTGTCTTGGTGTTTTGAGCCCGGGGGGGGGGGCGTATTGCCAGTGGGAAGGGGTCCTGTGCACAAAAAGAGCTTGTGCTCTCTGGCATCTGGGCTGGCCAGCCCTAGAGAGGGTGCAGGCCTGGCCTGGTGGAGGTGGGTGGGCAGCATGGCTGTATGCGAGAACCCCATGTTTGCACAGGTGATGACTGACATGGAGGACAAGAATGAGTGGAAGAACTGCATCGATATTGCAGGAGTCCGACTGCCCACTGGCTACTTCTTCGGGGCTTCTGCTGGCACTGGGGATCTGTCTGGTGAGGAGGCCTTGCTCACTGGAGTGTCAGTGCAGGGCCCAAGCAGGGGCCGTTCTTCACCACGCAGGGGAGGAGACAGACTGTGGGGGGCAGCAGCAAGCTGGGGAAACCAAGGCAGATCTCTGAGTTGGGGCGGGGGGCAAGACCTGAGTGCAGCAACCTCCCCTGTGGGGGACGTGTGGCTCAAAGGCCTTTGCCAATCTCTGCAACCTTGGCGGCTGTTTTCTAGACAATCATGACATCATCTCAATGAAGCTGTTCCAGCTCATGGTGGAGCATCCTCCTGAGGACGAGAACATTGACTGGACTAAGATTGAGCCTAGCGTCAGCCTCCTCAAGTCGCCCAAAGGTGAGTGTGGTGTGCTGAGGAGATTTGGTGGGTCAGGGCCCTGCTCCATCCTTGCCTGCCTGGGACCACTCTCCTGGCATCAGGGTGGTGTCTGCACAAGGACCTGGATGGAGCGGTGTTGTGTCCAGTGATGCAGTGGGTGTTTTGGGGCAAAGGTGGGGACACTTCCCACGCAAAGCTGGGGGCGGGGTGCAGAGTTTACTACCCTGGCCTGGGCTGCTGCCAGCTGTGCAGCCAGCTGTGGGGCAGGAATTGCTGGGGCTGGACCTGACTGCTAGCAAGCCTCTGACATGGGGTGGAGGCCTCTTTCCCCGCTCACCCTTGTCCTTTCCGGCCCCGCAGACAACGTGGATGACCCAACCGGGAACTTCCGGAGCGGGCCCCTCACGGGCTGGAAGGTGTTCCTGCTGCTGCTCTGCGCCCTGCTGGGCATCATCGTGTGCGCTGTGGTGGGCGCCGTGGTTTTCCAGAAGCGGCAGGAGCGGAACAAGCGTTTCTACTAGCAGACCAGGCCCGGCGGCCTCAGTGACTTATTCTAAGGGGGGTCGGACATGGCTCCGGTTTGTAAACGTCGTTTCTGAGAAATAACAGGATATTTTTGTATCTCTCATTCCTGCCACAGCCGCTGCGCGGACTCTCGGCGGGGGGGCTTTGTCCGCTCTGGACGGGCCCCTCCGTGGGGGCGTGCAGGGGAGGAGATCGGGGCCCTGCCCGCTGGGCCCGCCCGGGGGCCGGATTTGTGAGAGCCCAGAGCCGGCGCCGGGGGGACATTAAAGGAGTGACACCCAGTTCCGCTTCCTGTCTTCCTACCGGTGGCGCGGGGGCTGCTGGGAGTTGTAGTCCGGGGGGCTTGTGTTGCGGCCCGGCCCGGCCCAGACCTGCCCGCCCGGCCTCCTGCAGCCCCGCGCGGTC